CGTGCCTATGTTTTAATGCCCTACTACAGGTAATAGTCCCACACCTAATTCTTCCTTCCTAATAAAGACTATAGTATTTTAAACAAGTCCTGTCTATAAAGCAACAAAAGGCTGTAATAAAAACTTCCAAATGTAAGCAAGTGATCCTCTTAGAAATCTCCATGTTTATTCCAAGAATATGGCCACTTCTCAAAATGTTTTTAGAACGCCTCTTTGGAATCATCTTCAGTAAGTTGAAAGCCATAACAGCAAAACCAATTTTCTTATTTTATAGAGCTGTTAATTTTTAAAACGATTTAAAAAGTGGCATCACTCACCTTATTCAATAAACTTGACTTCAAATTACATTTTGGCTGTATCTAAAAGCCAAATTTACCTCAGAAGACAAAGATTTTCTACCATAAAAGTATTTTTAAAAATAGGAAAGCATTCTGAGAGCACACTACAAAAATTATCAGAAGAGTAAGGGTAAAGCTCACTTTCCAAAGTTTTCCAAGGCAGATCATTTTGGGGTATGACAGAAATGCAAGGAACATTAAGTTTTATGCATAATTTTTTTAATACTTTTAAAAACAGAAACATTTCTTTTATGTTCATACTTCTATCGGCCCTTCATGTGTTTTTCTTTTTATCTAGTAATGAACCACCTTTACAAAATCCTAAAACGTTTTAAATGGGACAATTTCCCACAAAGGTGGTGGGGGTGGGGTGGGGAGGTGCACCAATGTGTGTAAAGATGAGAATTTTCCACTCCCAACCTCAGCACCCAAACCATGTCAAAGGTGCAAGTTCTAGAATCTGAAGTTCTGTTGAGTGCTGGTGATTTAGAAGGGCTTTCAAGCAGTTCTAAGGGTCTCCAATCATTCCTGAAACTCTATGTATCTGGACAAATCCTGGCTGCATTCAATGTTGTGTTTGTTTCACAGTGTGATCCTGCAACATGAGCTAGTCAGTAACTGCGAATATTATTTTTGTCATTTTTGGCACTTACAGTTCACAATGCTTGGTTGTGTGGTTTAAGATTGTTTTAATTTTTGCATTTTACATTCCTTTGGGCACTTTTGAAGAATTGGACATTGTCTTTTTATGTTTGGGGGAAGTGGTGACCCTCCCTCCGTCCATCTCTTTAGTTTTTAAATGTTTGGCTATATGAAATCCCACGATTCTCCCAGGAATCCCGTTATCATTAAACGAAGCGAGTGGAAACTCGCCTCCCGAGGCTATCGGGCCTCAGAAGCAGGTATCCCCAGCTTCGAATTTAGTCTGTTTGGCTGTTGGTGTCAGGGGCTCTGGTGGCCCCTCCCGAAAGAAAAGTACAACTGGATTTTTGCGGGCCCACATGGCGACGTCCCCTCTTGCCCCGCCGGCCACGATGGAAGAAGACTTCCTGCTGCAGGCCCCTAGACGCTTGGCACAGCGGTTCCGGAGGCGACTGCGGCTTCTGCCTGGCAGTCCTGGGCCCTGGCTGGGCAGGACGGCGTCCACGTTCCTAGTCCGGTAGCCCTCTTCGCGGTTGCGCCCCAGAAGCATCGAAATGTTGGGGTTTCGGATGGCATAGATGACAGGGTTGATGGCCCCATTGGCCCAGGTCAGCCAGACAGCCACCACATTGAGGAGCGAGGGGCCCTGCGCGGCCTGGGCCTGGCGGGTGGCGGCCAGCAGCACCAGGCAGCAGTAGGGGCCCCAGCAGCAGACCACGAAGACGATCATGATGAGCACGGTGGTGGCCGTCCGCACCTCGCTGAAGAAGCGCAGCACGCGCGCATAGGTGGTCACCGGCCGCACGCGCACGTCGGACAGGCGCACGGTCTTGCAGATGTGATAGTGGCAGAAGCACATGAGCAGGAAGGGCAGCAGGTAGCAGGCCACCACCAGCCCCACGCTGTAGGCCGCGCCCAGCTGCGCGGGGTCGGGGGAGGTGCGGTAGAGGCAGCCGTGGAAGCTCTGCGCCGCCGGGGGTTCCCGGGGCGCCCACAGCAGCTCCCAGGGCAGGGAGAAGCCCAGCGCCGCCAGCCAGGCGCCCGCCAGCAACTGCAGCGCGCGGCGGCGGCCGAGCTTCTCTCGCGGAGGCCGAACGATGGCGCAGTAGCGGTCCAGCGAGATGAGGGCCACGCTCAGCGAGGACACGATGCCGCCGCACGAGCTGAAGAAGCGGCTGGCGGCGCAGAAGCCTCGCCAGGGCCCCGCTACGGCGGCGGGTGCCGAGCCCTCGGGCGGCGTGAAGAGGTCCAGGAAGGCGGCGGGGAGGCAGAGCAGCGCCGTGAGCAGATCCGACAGGGACAGCGACAGGATGAAGGCGTTGGTGACGGTCCGTAGCTGCCGGTGCTTCGCGATCACCCCCATCACGGCGCAGTTGCCCAGGCTAGACAGCAGGAAGATGAGGAGCAGGACCAGCGCCT